TAAATTTACTCCAAATGTGTGCCAAAAGATAGTCTATGATGAGACTTGAATCGTCTATAAGTTTTAGCTTGAGGCTACATTTCGTTTTCGAGTTTCGGTTGATTAAAGTTGTCATTTTTACATGGATTGTTGGATCGAGGTTACACCGCTAAAAAAAAATCGCTTGTACTTCACATGTGGCATATGTATTCCGAAGTACTTTTTCGCGCTGAGCACGAATTTGCTATTAGAATTGCTTCATCACCCTTCGGTCTTCATGAAATGACTGAAAAGCTTCAGAAAAATGAAGAATTTCGAAGAATCCAAGATTAATTCTTTGACTTCCAAATGACCTGTAGTCATAGAGATTAACGAACCTTTGATTTTAAATCAATGATTTCGTCAACCTTTCTGGGAAAGGTTTCTGAAGACCTTTCCCAGAATCTGAAGTCATAGAGATTAACGAACCTTTGATTTTAAATCAGCGACTTTGAAAACCCTATAACAATCCATGTAAAAATGACAACTTTAATCAACCGTAACTTGAAAACAAAATGCAGCCTCAAGCTAAAACTTATAGACGATTCAAGTCTCATCATAGACTATCTTTTGGCACACATTTGGAGTAAATTTATGAGGTCTCACAAAGGGGCGAAAATTTCGGTCGCTCTTTGGTTAGTGAACGGTTTCGAAAATACTACACCTATGTATGTTTTCAGCCACGAAATTTGAATAATTCTAAATATTTCGAGTATTCACCACCAAGAACGGCGGTGACAACAATTTTAACATTTTAACAGGCGACGTTTCGCATTGTATTAGGTAAGTCCTGTCCAAACTTGGATTTTTTTTATTAGAGGCCTCCATAGACCTTGCAGCAGCCCTGGGCCCACCCCAAGCTAAAATCCTAGCTGCGCCCATGCGAACTGTGAAAGTTTTTTTAGGTTATGGCACCGAAAACATCGAATATGTTTCTAAAATATAACACAAGTGTAAAGCGTTATTCTTTGTTGTACTAAGGGCCTGAGTGTTGGTGATGTACCATGTATGATGTATTAGAAACAATTTCCAGTGGTCAGACTAAGGCGCATTTGATTCGAAACGAAACATTTTGAAAAAACTCAATCTCCAAACATATCCTAAACCAGTAAAGAACACTTATTGAGCTTAATACTTAATATACTGTTACTGCGTACGTTCTTAATAAGCGAATTATTTACACTGCAAATTATGTAAAACAACTGCCATATTTGACATAAACGTAAATAAATACAATCAATCGTCTGTGTTTCATTTGAAAAATGTATACCTACATAACCACATAATTCCAAACATATAACCATGGGGACACGCAGGCACTGTTTGTCTTTGCTGCTTTGTATTCTATGTGTGTGGCGTACCTCAAAATTACAGATCCCTGAAATTTTCCTACCTGACAGAGTCAATTTGTAGTCATGTGAAAGTTGTAATTTGTCCTTTGCTAAATATGTTTTTTTTTTCTTTTCATGTGCCGTCTCTCCTTGCCGTGGACTATTCCTGGACTACAGAGCGCAGTTAGAGTAAGTATCCACATTCCAGATGTGTAATTAGTGCTTTAGTTTTGTTACGTGAACGATCGGTTAAAATCGTCTGTGCTGTCCCCAGAACTGGGGCGTACTTGAGTACAATGTATTCGGTACAATATTTGTTTAATCATCATTCAAGTACTGAATACTTTTCTGTATTCGAGTATGATGTATTCATGAACAGTATTCGATACAATATTTGTGCATTCATTCAAGTACTGAATACTTTTGTGTACTCGAGTATGATGATTCATGAACAGTATTCGGTACAATATTTGTGTATTCATTCAAGTACTGAATACTTTTATGTACTCGAGTACGATGTATTCATGAACAGTACTCGGTATAATATTTGTATAATCATCATTCAAGTACTGAATACTTTTATTTTGACAGTTTTTAGTATTCGTATTTATCACTCTTAGATATTCAGAATTCAGTACAGTCCGTACAATATTTGTCGAGATAGAATTCAATGAAAAGAATGAATCAATAAAGTTATGTTATCGCGTTATTTTCAGAATATTAAAATATATGTATAGTATACAGGGTTCTTCACGGTAAGTGGACTATTAAACGTTTCAGAGAAACCAAAAATAGTATGACTCTGAAATTGTGTTTACGGGGGTTATAAGATATGCCCTCTTCAATGAAAATAATGCCATCAACATAGCACTTCCGGTTATACCGGAAGTAGCTGTCAACTTTGTTATTTTAAATAGAACACCCCATATATTATTGCACTATCGACCAAATTGAATTAAAATACGACATAAATGTTGAAGCTTCGCTGTGCCTAAATCTAACCGTTTTCCAGATAATTGACATGTTAAAAAAATTAGAACTTGCAACTCAACACTTTCATTGAAAATTCTCCCTGTAGTGGCTAAAGATACTCCTGTAGCAGCTACAACAAGATTTTTTAATTTAGTCCAAGCGGTAGAACATTCGATGCGTTTGACTTCAAAAGTAATCTGTTTTGTTGTACAGAAAAATCCCAAATATTATGTAGAATAAGTATCCGAGTTTGCCTATTCCAAAAAAACATTGCTAAATTCGGGGGAACAGCAAACATACAAAAAGAACGAAAATTGACCAGTTTTTCGACATATTTTTTCGTGTAACATTGAAAGTAAGCCCTAAATAAAAAAGTCATGATTTATTTTTTGTTTATTTGACGATTTTCTATAAAGTTACGACATCTGCGAATCAAAAAAGTTAAATTTTGCATTAACATTGGGCGAAAAATAGTAGAAAATCATACGTACACTTGGAATAATTTTTAAAATAAGTAAATATTTATAAATACCGATGAAACTTTGTGAACAAATAGTAAAACATGTCAATTCTACCCTAAAAATTTTGCAACGATCGATAGCGTGGTTTTCGATTGTCAGAATTGTTAATTAAGAAAATTTCAAAAAGTTCGCGTAGCATGGATTTAAATTAAGGTTTAGAAAGGGCACACAATTTTTTAGGGATACTTGTCATAATAAACAACGATCAATACTAAAAATACCTATTTTTACACTTCTATAACCGTTTAGATTTTTTTTTAATTTTTCAGCATTTTACTTTATAAACAATTATTTATTGCCCAAGAAATTTTCTATACAATTGAGAAAATCTTGCACACATAAAAACTACGTCATAACCCCTTGCTTTTTAGCCAAATACGACAGCATTCTACTGTGTAGATTCTGAGATATAGAAGAAAATTTTGTTATACTTCAATGAATTAACACAGAGATCATTAAAATCAGGAAATATGTATTTTTTTAATTTAATAATTAAAACGTGAATTTCGTGAAATGCAATTGATGCACACAAACTAATAAAACTTGATTACCATAATATAACTATATTTTAAAAGCATAGAAAAGTGGCCAAATTCTTTAAACTCAAAATTCGTGTAAAAATTATTTATTTTATTGATTTTTGATGACATATTCGTACTCCTCTAATCTTGCTATATCAAAATAAAATAATATATATATTTAAATATCATATTCAGACTGTTGAAATATGTATATACGTAAAGAATTTTTTTCATTGAGAAAAATGCAATAGCATGGGGTAAAATATACAGTATGTATATTTAATGCATAAATAATAAACTTTGTTTATAACAGCCCCCTCCCCCACTTTTCGTGTTTCGAGTCACTTTCCGCGCGTGCGAGCGACAGCTTTTCCGCTGATTTATCTATGTTGCCGATAACTTATGGATATGAAAATTTTTTCCAGTTTAGAACTGAGAAAAACGAAGATTATTGCTAAATTGTTTATAAAATAATGGTAAATGTCGATAAACTTTGACCGATTATATCTCGAGAACCAATGAACGGAATTTAACTTTTTTTTTAAAGAAGCGTCTTTCCGAGTACTTTAAAATTATAATTTTTGAAAAAAACTAAATTGCAACTTTAAAAATTTACTGTGGTCGTCATTTCAATTTTTCAAAAACCATTTGAGGTTGAGCTATGTGAAAAAAATTTCAAGTATCTAGATGCTTTATTTGAGACTGCGCGACAATTTGAAAATTCAAAAAAAATTTTCAAAATTTTTTTCAAAAAATTATTTTACGAAAACTATATAAGTAATTGATTTTAATGAAATTTGGTGTTATTTTATTATACACTAAAGTTTTTTTTGTCAAAATTAGAATGCCCTAGGAGCAATTAAAATATTTTAAAAAATTATCCAAAAAACTTTTTATTANTCAATCTTGCGTCCATTTCTAAAGTAGGACTCTATGATAAACACTTTTTGTTCTTGAGAAAACACCATTTTAAACGCTTTTTGAAACGAAAATATTCAAATTGATAGCGGCGATATAGCGCTTTGACAGATGACGTTTAAGTTCATTTGCTATACGCTACGCCCTACGTCCAAATTTTCAGAACCAACTTGACCACGTTTTTATTTGAACGCTCGTTATAAATATATTTTAAAAGCATAGAAAAGTGGCAAAATTCTTTAAACTCAAAATTCGTGTAAAAATTATTTACATATTTATTGATTTTTGATGACCTATTCGTACTCCTCTCATTTTGCTATATCAAAATAAAAAAAAGGTATTTAAATAATTGTAATACTATAACTAAATACATTCATATTCAAACTGTTGAAATATATACGTAAAGAAATTTATTCATTGAGAAAAATTCAATAGCATAGGGTAAAATATACAGTATGTATATTTAATGCATAAATAATAAACTTTGTTTATAACAAAATATGTGCAAATTAGACAGTTGGCATTACGATATTCGAATTCCTTGGCTCGTGAGACATCGGATTAAAAAAAAGATCGAAATTGGTCCATTAGAAGCCGAGATATGAACCTCCAAATTCAGCCTCGGAGCGAAAGCCCCCTCCCCCACTTTTCGTGTTTCGAGTCACATTCCGCGCGTGCCAGCGACAGCTTTTCCGCTGGTTTATCTATGTTGCCGATAACATATGGATATGAAAATTTTTTCCAGCTTAGATCTCGGAAAAACGAAGATTATTGCTAAATTGTTTATAAATTAATGGTAAATGCCGATAAACTTTGACCGCTTATATCTCGAGAACCAATGAAGAACGGAATTTAACTTTTTTTTTTAAAGAAGTGTCTTTCCGAGTACTTTAAAATTATAATTTTTGAAAAAAACTAAATTGCAAATTGATAAATGTAATTTAATTGTTTAAAAATAAAAAAAGTGTTAACTTTAAAAATTTACTGTGGTCGTCATTTCAATTTTTCAAAAACCATGTAAGGTTGAGCGGTCTTTTCTATGTGAAAAAAATTTCAAGTATCTATACTCCGCGGTAGAAATTATAGAGAGTGACTCATCGCTAGCTTTTGGACTAGTAATGGAGATGAAGCGTGCCGGGAACGAAAATCCATCGGTGTGTCTGCGTAAAAGGCAACAAAATATAGATAATATTGAAAAAAGATAATAAAACATAACATCTAATATTTTTTTACGGGTTGCTATAACCGGCACTTTGATCCATTTTAATTATTACAGCTTTTTAAAACGTCCCAATGTGTTTTTTTAATTTATAAATTTATTATAGCCATTGAATTAGACCTCTAGTCTACGCTTATGCTATGACGTTTCTCAGGACGGATAAATCAAGTCTGCAAAAGACAGAGATAGAATATAGATCGACGTTCAGTGTAATTCAGTCTATAGACGATTATAGATTCTATCGATGTGCGTAGTGAGCGGCACAAAGATAAATAATATTGAACCGTTATAAAAATCATTTTATATTTTATGCGCATTATAGTAATAGTGTATTTATATTATGTCTTAGTCACTCTCTCTCGACCGCGGAGTATAGCCCTGTTTCTCACCCGCAAACTTATTCCTCTCGACGATAATTTGATATATAATATTCTAACCTAACAAAATGTCTTATTTCATATTTATACTTATTCCAGTTCGAAGTATCATTATTTAATTTTTGTGTTTAACCTCAGAAACATCGTACTTCGTCTTTAATACAACAATACTTTTATTCAACAAATATGAGTACTCGAATACAAGTATTCCGATTCGAGTACCCTTTGAGTATTGTATCCAGGATTCAAGTAATCTTAGATATTCCTTCAACGGAGTATTCAGTATTCATAGACTCAAAAGTTCTTCTGTAATCGTACCCAGCTCTGGCCGTCCCCGGTCAGAAGCGGGATTCGCAAGGGTTCCCCAAAAATTATAGACATTTTTCCATTAAACCCGATAATATACCTTGCCGGGGAATATGAGCGGTTGTGAATGCTTTATCTTCCCCGCCAGTGCGGTTTTTACTCGCTGCCATATAAATCTGGGATGAGCCGGGGTGGTCGGTGGCCGGGATCGAGGATTTATTGCCGGAGTAAAAGAATAAACAGGTGGCATCCGATCGATAACTCGGTTACTAAGTAAAGAGGCGATCCGCTGGATGGGTTCTAATAAAGGGGGATTAATTTTATTAATGAATTTTGCCCACGTTGAAGTGGCGAA